GCAGGAAACTGTCACTACCGATTGAATCCGCTCCGTCATAGTCCCAATTTTCAAGGGAGGATTACGATCGGAATGCGGCAGCCATAGAGAAATCAGTCTGATCTGCATCGCCTCCAAATTGCTTGCCTCTGTCATCCTTCACAGACTGACTGGCACTCGTGAGAGCCAGATTCGTGAAGAGCAAGCTGGATTTCGTCGAGGTCGTGGCTGCATTGGCCACATCTTCACCTTGCGTCAGTTGTTGGAGCACCGTCACATATATTGGCCATTCACCGTTGTCGTGTTCCTCGATATCAGAGGTGCATTCGATTCGGTGGATAGACATGCACTTTGGGACTGTCTACTCAGGAAAGGTGTACCTGAGAAATATGTAAATATTATCCGAGCATTATATGCGCGTCGCTGGGGCAGAGTGAGGGCTTACGGCAATTTGTCGTCGCCCTTTAATATCTCCAGCGGTGTGAGACAAGGATGCTCGCTGTCACCTTTTCTCTTCAACTTCGCTTTTGACGAAGTCATGGAAATCGCGTTCAGAGGACGCGACTTAGAAGATGTGGATCTGCTCCCAGGAGAACGACTTCTTGACTTGGAGTATGCTGATGATATTGCCCTAATCTGTGACAGCTCACAAACGTGTCAAGCGGCACTGGACAGATTAGCACTAGCTGTCCGTCACTTCGGGCTTTGCTTTGCACCATCGAAATGCAAAGCATTCCTCCGAGATTGGTCTGGACCGCCTCCTACGCTGACCGTTGGTGGGGATCAGCTAGAAGTCGTTTGGAAATTCAACTACCTGGGAAGTTGTATCAGCGCCCGTGGGATTGAGGATGAGATTACGAACCGTATAGCAGAAGCTCGGGGCGCTTTTGCTAACCTTCTCCACTTATGGCGCCGGCGCGACATCACTCTTGCCCTGAAGGGTAGAGTGTACAATGCAGCAGTACATTCGACCCTACTGTGCGGTTGTGAAACCTGGCCGCCTAAAGCAGCGGACCTGAAGAGACTAGTTACGTTCGACCACCGGTGCCTTCGTAATTTAGCTCACATTTGGTGGGAACACCGCGTGAGCAACGAGCGTATTCGACGCCTGGTTTATGGCACAGGAAAAGGAACTGAACCGCTCAGCACCGTCATTTCACGCATCAGGATCAGATGGCTCGGCCACGTGTTGCGCTTGCCAGCCCACCGACTCCCGCGACGTGCGTTGTTTTCGCGCCGGGGGTGTGGATGGGAGAAGAGGAGGGGTGTCCAAGCGAAGACTTGGTCGAGAGGAATGAAGGCCCTCAGTTCTGAGCTGGCCTCGGTTGGAGCGTCTCGGCTCCCTGGTTGGGGTCCGAAAGACGATGAACACGTTTGGCTGAATACACTTGCTGATATGGTTAGGAGCCGACCTCAATGGCTTTCTTTCTGTGCGTATTTTTTGTCTCACCCCATCCCTCTTAGCCTCCCTCTCCGACGAAGATCTCATTATTGAGCCTTATATAATTTTGCATGCACAGTAGCCGGCTGGTAGCTTACCGGAACGATGCCCATCCGTTACTGGTAGCTCAGCCGGCTTGCACCATTTGTTTTTTTTCCATTTTTCTATGTATTGCGGCACAGTAGCTGAGGTGTTCCCCACCTCTAGCTAACGTGTATGATTATGATGATGAATCAGACTACCAGGTTCATGTAAGTTAAGTAAACGTCGTGGTTTTACGCCTTGTTACATATCTTGTTTATCATCTCCGCCTACACTCCTAAAGACTGCAGCCCGGATGCAGTCAAGGCTTGGTTTTACCAATAGCTGCATGAGCTTCTGCGTTCCACTCAAATGCCTGATATTGTCATTGTTGCCGGAGACTTAAATGACACCAAGCAAGCATCATCTTGGGGGTAGTTGTGGCTTCAGTAGCAGTCGATCGGACAATGGAGACAGACTACTGACTCTTTGTTCTGATCATCGCTTGTTTCTTTTGATTGTCAGTTTTCGATACTCGAAGAGACAGACTGCTACTTGGCGCCCGCCTTCTGAAACGTAAGAGTGGTCCTAGCTTGACCATATCGCGATATGATACAGATGGCGCGGAAGCGTATCAGACCTCCGTGCGTACTGGTCATTTTTTCTAGGCTCCAATCACACATTGGTTCGTGCAAGTTATGTATGTATTTCGGAGGACGGCCTAGGCGGAGGCACTACCGCTCTAGCGTATAAAACGTACCAGACTCTACGATGATAGCCAAATACTAGGCCTCTCTGTCAGCATTGTTTACCCCTGCTTCTGATGATGATCCTTATTCACAGTGGATGCGAATCAAAAATGCTTTCGTTTCTGCCAGCATTGATAGTTGCTGAGTCACCGATCACCCGCCGAAAATCTGGATCACTGATGTCTTCTTGTAGCTGTTGGCCGAACGCCGCTCCGTCCCGGCGGATTCTAGCTGTAGTGAAGAACGACGACCCCTATATCGAGAATTGCACAAGAGTCTACAAAAGGACCGTGGAACATGGTGGTGTGAACAGGCTAGAGTGATGGGACTCGCTAGTCTTTCTGGTAATACCAGAATACCGAAGCCACCGAAGGTTTCCCATCTGGTGTAAGCGAAACGATCTGCGAAGAGGATGGCCCACTGATCAGTAATCTTTAATGACGGTTGGAACACTTTAAACACTTTGGCCAGCACTTTTGCTGGCCACCAGCTCTATCTGCTTCCCCTGGAACCCTCACTGGTGCTGAGTGGTCTGTCCCCACAGATCCTCCTCAAACTGGCAGGAACTTCGGCTCTTACAGCACCGGGCCCTGATGTTTTACCTCTCGCCTTATTTAGAGAGAGCTTATTCGCTGGTTCTCAGAAGTCTGTGGTGAGTCCATAGTCGTCCCCATCTTCAAAATGTGTCTGCGCACAATGTGCTTCAACAACAGGGGTATCAGCTTGCTTCCCGTTGTTTGTAAGGTTCTGGTGTTCATCATATTTCTGTTATCTTCTATGCACGAATCGCTACATCGGGGAGAACAGGCTGGGTCCCGCCCTGGTCGCGTCTGCATCGATCAAATCTTTACACTCCGCCAAATCTTCGAGCTCTGCCGTGTGTACCAGAAACCAACGACTGTCGTGTTCCTGGATATCTACGCTGCCTTCCATTCTGTCAACAAGTTTGCATTGTGGTGTTGTTTGTTGAAAAATTCGTCCCCAGAAAGTTCGTTTCCGTACTGTGTGCTATGTACAGTCTGACCTCGGGTAGAGCTAGAGCTTATAGCAAGTTTTCGCTTTCCTTTGTTGTTACCAGTGGAGTTCGACAAGAATGCCCTATCTCTCCCTTCCTTTTCAATTTTGCCATTGAGGATGTCCTAAGGTATGCTCTGGAAAATTCGTTCAGCACTGGCTTTGAGCTCCTACCAGGTAGCCGAGTTGTTGCCTTGGACTGCGCTGATAGTATCGTCTTGCTGGGTGGCGGTTCACAGGTCGTCCAACTTGCACTCAACCGCTTGGCGATTGAAGCGTCAATGTATGGGATGGTTTTTTCCACATCTAAGTGCAAAGCTCTTTTCCAAAACTTTCAGATGCCTGTACCTGCACTCACTCTTGATGGTGGGACACTGGAGGTTACGGAGACTCTTGTCTACCTAGGAAGTTGCAACACAGCTAGTGGAGTTGTTGGAGACGAGGTTTCGTTGCGTATCTCAAGAACTCACCTCGCTTACTTTAAGCTGATGCACTTTTGGCGTCTCCGAGACGTCCGTCTATCCATCAAACGGCGGGTTTATTGTGCGACTGTCCGCGCTGTACTGTTGTACGGTTGCCAGACGGTTTGTTCGTACCGTTGAACTGCGCCTTCTCTCCGGCTTTGAGCACCGTTGTTTGTGGTCCATTGCCTGTGTGTGGTGACTACATCACATAAGCAGTGTGGATGTTTGACAGCGTGTCTTGGGTGCAGACAGCTACTCGCTTGAGAAACTCATCCCGCTGCGTCAGGTGCGGTGACTTGGACACGTACTGCGCATGCCCGCCCATCGTCTTCCGTGTCGGGCGTTGTTTACAGTTGCTGGACTGGACTAGAGTAGACAGCGCAGTGGAGTATCTACTACATTCAGAAGCCACATGAAAAAGCTGACGAAACAGTTCGCTCTGGTCAATTGTTCTCGACTCCCTGCTTGGGATTTCAGAGATACAGTATCGCTGGTCGGAGACTCTGGAAGTCATGGCACAGGCCCGACATCAGTGGTGGATGTGTATCTCCAACATAACAAACAATTAAAAAACTCAAAAACTGTATGTGAAAATCTACTGAAAATATGCTACATGTTCTTTTTCCTCCTATTCATATTCTATTTTCTTATTCTGCCATGATTCTGATGGTAAGACATCTGTACCACAGATGGTGAAGACTATGGGGATTTAATGCTGCTGACCGCTATTTTGAACGCTGTTTGTTTGACTCGCCCTTTAGACAAGTGTCCACACGACTTGTTCTTCACACATGATTCTCGATCGATGCTGCTGGCCTGTCTGCTGTTCTCTCGCAGCCTCATCTGTTTGAAGCTATTTTCGATGCATTACCAGGGCAACAAATGCGCTTATGGCTTTTGGAATATTGCACTAAAATTATCCTGCCAATGGTATAGGTAGAAATTCCTCAATGAACAGCTTTCCGTGTTTATGATGGGGGACTGTTGGTATGCACTGTAAATTTCATGCGATGGGAAAAGTAACGGTCAGAAACGGACTGCATTATCCGCATTTTGGGGTTCGAACTCAGTGCGGTACAGATGTATCGAGTAACAAGGGTTGCGTCGGTACAGTCAAATAGACTTGGCCTGTTGAACATTTGGTTGCATCATTAGCATTAAAATAAAGGAAGTCTGATGACTGACGTCTAGCATTGTGGATGGCACAATCAATCCTCAATCCACCCGTTTTCCTTGTTGTGAGGTTGATCCATCTGTCTTCTGCTCCGCGCACAAACTCCTTCGAGCCATCAGTGACACATGATTCCGCTGTTTGCTCTTCCTTACTTTCAGGTCGTCACGGAACGTTACCACAACATCACAGAGGATTCCGTCGTTGAATGCAGTGTGAAAAACCGGGCTGGAAGCGCACATGATGTCGCTTACATTACAATCACTCCAGGTTCGTATTTCTGTGCACTACTGTAACAATTCCTTGCGTACCGTACAGGTTCCTCAAAAACTTTACTTTTGTAAGTATTGAATTAATGCTTATTGACTATTATTTCTTCACAAAAAATTAAATTATCTAGCGCCGCACAAACTGCTAGCAAGCTTTTCATTGTTAGATCATAATTCGTCTCTGATTGAACTAGGCCATTTGGTGCTTTTCTGCGTACGTTCCTTCGTTTATCCCTTGTAATTTTTACGCAACATTTTATTATATCCTCAGTTATAGTCAATCAGCTGATTTTTAGTCGCGTATTCATGGGCTCAATATGTCTCACGAAATTTATCGTGCTGCTCTCTGAACCGTTTTAGCCAATGTACAATTATTATTCAACACTTGACCAATGTGCAATTGGTAGTGCCACAACACATAGTTAACAACAACAAAAAAATGGGCAAAACGGGTGATCAGTGAAAGGAATTGGAAAGTTTGCAAGCTTGTGTTGTTTGGGCAGAGATCTCGATTGCCCAAGCACAGGAAGACGGTTGACTTAAGTTACCCCATCCCGAGCCTTTGGTCTTAAGACCTGACTCACAAGGCAGCGGGGTGATTAACGAAGACCCTTGACATCCGGGTGGCTCTTTCACCTTCTTTGTGTTCAGTAGCAGTCCACAGCGAAGTTGTTCATCCGCTTTCCGTTAGATATTCACCTCTGGTTACAGAAGTGAGTGGTCAGTGACCCTATAGCCGGTCACATTGGCTTTGACACAGCACCGTACGAGCTCTTGTGGTATTTGATGGAGAACCAGGTGACCAGTCTAGAACACCCCACGCTCTGAGACGCTGCCGCTGATTGTCCGCGACTGCTTATTTATCTCGCCTGCAAGCAGGCAATATTTATTCGCAGTTACCTCCACAAAGAAGGCATTCCCCTATCCGCTACCTGGGGACGCGCCCAATAGCGTACAGCTCCGACACGTTTTAGCCACTCGATCATAAAACGTTCATTGCTATTATTTGCGAATAAAATGCGATATGTAGTTCGCTCTGTGTCCTAGATTCTCAGTTTAGGCAATCGCCAATTATGTCCTCATCCTTGCATCTATGCAGTCGCTGAGTCAGATGGCCTTACTTTGCAGGCTCATCCCCCACACTGCCTGACTGACTCCTCTCCTCTATCACTCATCGCCACCACATTGAAGTGCCATGTCGATATCCGATGTGTACGACTGTGTGAACTTTGTAGCACATGTATCACTGACCGTCTGTGTGTTCGATCATTTCTGGTGTCATGGTTGCCCGCCCAGTCTCCGACCTGTCGACTTATTTTCTTTGCACACATATATTCCTTACTTTTGACACTGTCATCAAACTCCGCCACAATTAGCTTGACTGAAAACTGTCGTTTATAAATTGTTGCAATCTATTTAGACAATTCCCAAGATGGCTAAATCTATGTCTTTCTCCTTTGCCTGAATTCCTATTGTTCTGCTTACCCAGTCGTCCAAATATGCACTCACAGCGGTAGTACTTTGTTTTGCTAAGCTTTTGTTGATTCACTTGGCAGCAGCCTGAACTTTGACAGTCAGTTACCTACATTTTTTTCGTGGCTGCTGAGTGCCGCCTCCAAGCGTGGTGGTCACATTTCCACCAATTTCATCAATCACCCTGCAGTCGAGTTTATTCTCCACCTTCTCTCCCCGGACGCATTCAACCCTATAAGATGCATTCATTTTGTTGAACACCTGCTTACCGTCGTCCGGTGCTATTGTGTACCCATCTGTCGCCCATTGTTATGGCCCGGCTAGTTGCCGAGTGGCTTGCTTGTCCGACTTGTCATCCACAACTCGACTGTTTGACCGGGGGCCACATCGCAGTACCCCTAGCTCGTGTGGTACTAATGGTGCTAGTCGCGTGGCAGCGAAGTGTCCGTCGACGAACTGACCTACTACAGCCCAACATGATAGGGTGACCAGCCAACAACATCCCCAACGTTTTCTCCTATGAGTAATGTCCCTATGCATGGACCTGTCTATGGCGACCACCTGTCCAAGATGACCACTTTTCGTCGGCCCCTTGAGTGGTCGCTTAAGGTTGGTTTGAGTATATTTTCAATAATATTTGTCTCACGCTCGTTCTGTTCTACCTTTACTTTTAATTCCCCTGTCTAATGGACTTACTCGATTTAAAACGCTTTTCGCCTCGAATTGGACCTTTCGTGCTTTGGATTGCACTTTCGGTTACATCATCTTCCCCCTCAATCAGTTTCTAATGGTTTCGTTACACTGTTCCGAGCATTTGCCATAGCTGACCAGAAGCATTTCACATCCATGTGTACATTTGCCAATATCTTGTCCTACTACAGTCAAACCTGTCTAAGGTGACCACTCAAGGGCTGACAAAAGCTGGTTGTCTTGCACAGGTAGTCTCCATGACAAGCCCATGCGTAGGGCCATTACTCATAGGAGAAAACCTTGGGGGTGATTATTGCTTGTCGTCATAGCAGGTTGGACTGTATCTCGTGTTATGCGAGCTTCTGATTTGTCAATTGTGATTCTTGTGTGTAAACAAGTGTGTCGCCTCTCCTGTGATCTGGGCGCCTACGGTCTGCCGTTTTTTCCGGCTTGATAGTAATTTGAATCATATCCATGGGTCTACACCGTCTGATTCAATCGCAATGAGACTGGACCTTACCGTGGTGCGATGGTTTGTGTGCCTTAGTTATCCATTGAGCTATGCTGGGTGGTGATTTTGCACCTTCAGAGCCACTCATACCATATTGGTCAATGGTTAGAGACCAGACAAACAGTCTCATGGTCCTTCAGGTTGGGGGTTGGAATGAGGGTGGCACCTTATTCCTTAAAACGGACTCCTTGCAGCCCAATGCCTAACCCGCTGCCTTGCGGTCAGGTTTTGAACCGAAGGCTTTGGTTGAGAACCCTAATCGTTCTCCTGTCTAGGCCTGGGCAACCTGACAGTATCCTGCCCACGCAATACAATGAATCTTTCTACAGACAAATGTCTGATACTCTGGCCACCGCAGAGGATAATCAACGGTGCCCTATCTGATGCATCGAGCAGGGTGGATAGCGGTTTGGATGCTACTGCTCAATCCTTCTTATCTTCTTACTCCCCTACTTACGCTTTTTCTCCCTTATGATCCTGCTCCAACTTCATTTTTATCCCCTCAGTTTCCAACCCCCTTGATTCTTGGCTCTCCCCCAACAAACCTTGCTAGGCGTTTATCATCTAATTTCAACTCACATGCTAACGCGGAGCGTCACTCCTGTCCTGTCGACAAGCCCATGTCCAACCAAGCGGTTCATTCCACTTCATCGGCTCCTATTTGGAGCTCTCGATCCTCCCTCAGATTGGCATGCTTCAACGTACGCACATGGCTACAGATCGGTCAACAGGCAGCAATTGCCCGAACACTAGACCCTCTCGATCGATATCTGCTGCTTATCGGAGACCCGCCTGCATGACTCGAGCTCTGTGCTCACTTTGCGATCCCCTTCAGGTGACACTAGCAGCACTTTCTCATTGCACCTATCCGGTGACGATGCAGCTTCGAGCACCGGCCAAGCTGGTGTTGGTATTGCCCTGAGTCCCCTGGCTGAAGATGTTCTGGTTGATTGGATTCTAATCAGTAGCCGGATATGTGCGGTCCGATTGGCTGGCTCGTTCAAAGCTTCAAAAGCGCGCAGGACTACTAGGTGTCTATTCATCATCGTTGCCTACGCGCCCACAAACTGTAGCGATGATTCGGTAAAAAACGCCTTTTACCGCCAACTGACCCAGCTCCTACGACACAGAAGAAGCTCGAACACTGTTATGCTGGCGGGGGATCTGAACGCGCAAGTTGGAAAGTTGTTCACTGATGAAATGCATCTGGGCGGTCAGCACGGTGTAGGCTCCCGTAATGATAATGGTGAGCGGTTACTTCATTTGTATGCAGATGCCCGCTTATTTCTTGCGAGCACTGACTTTCGACACAGCACCCGCCGAAGGGTGACTTGGCGCCCACTAGCCTTGGACGCAAATCGATCACATTGCAATCAGTTACCGATAGAGAAGCTGCATCCAGAATTGTCGTTCGATTTGGAGCACATTTGTAGACACCGACCATGCAGTTGTATGTGTTCACCTGCGGATGCGTTTTGGCGGACGCTCAAGAGGACGTTATGGGCGCATGGACACCAGCCGACTGGCGAAACCAGCTGTTCTGAATGCCTATCAAAGTACGCTGTCATGCGAACTGAGTAAGCGCTCACTGGAGACGATTGAAGGTCACTGGTCGCCTGTTCACCGGACCTTACTAGCAGCTAGCAAATCCTAATGTGATGAGTCGAATAGCCAACATGGACATTGGGTCTCTTCGCGGTCTCTGGAACTTATCGATCCACGCTGGCATATTCCCACTGGAGGCGAACAAAATGAAACTCACAAAGTGCTCCGGGCAAAACTCCGTGCTAGCCTGAAGAGAGACCGCGAATCTTGGTGGTCTCACCATGCGTCAGAGATGGAAGTGGCCGCCGCCCTTCGTAACCATCGTAAGTTACTCCTTCTAATATGGGAAACGCACAGCAGGAGACCTGGTGTTAGTAAAACAATTTGTGACGAGAATGGACAGTTTATCCACAAATTGTCAAAACTTTTAAAGCGTTGGGCTGAGCATTTTGAAAAGCAATTTAATGTGCCGGAATTGTTCGAAATCTCACCGGCCAGTGATCGCCCTGCTCCGTGGGCTCTCCTCTTGCATTCGCCCTCTTGCTCTGAAGTCGAACTGTTGAAGTTGAACAAAGCCGCGGGACCAGATGATCTTCCTCCAGCCCTCTTCCAATTCGGGGAACTTGCTCTTGTGGATGATTTACATGAATCACTAGTGAAGCTGTGGGAGCTGGAAACTGTCCCAACCGACTGGAGCCGCTCCGTTATTGTTCCCATCTTCAAAGGAGACTCGCGTTCGGATTGCGGCTATCATAGAAGAATCAGTCTGATCTCCATCGCCT